TATTAAAGTTTTTCTTCATTACCAACCTTGTCGAAACGTTGTACATTTGCTGTTATATTAAAGTTTTTCTTCATTACCAACCTTGTCGAAACGTTGTACATTTGCTGTTATATTAAAGTTTTTCGAGCAAATTGGACATTTGCACTCAGTGGTGTAGTGCTAACTATTGTAGTACGAGCTTTACCAAATTTTGTCAGACGTGTGATGTGATCATCAAAGTAAGAATTTCACATTCAAAACCTGATGTCCATTTTTGTGAGTCCATTTTAAATAAAGAAAATATATGCAGCAGTTATATGAAAATACTAAATTGAATGTGCATATATTAGGGACGTCTATCGCAGATAGCCCTCGCGTATCTTTGCGCAAACTTCAAACCAAATTTATTATTAATTTACAATATTGCTAACTGTACTACAGTATTAAAAACATCAACATTCATAATGCCTTGGACATCTCTTGTCTTGCCAACACACACAAAAAAAGCCTGAAAGGTTACAAATGTTTGTATGCTGTAATTGCCTGAAGAATATTTGATACATAATTCGTTTTAACTACTGAGGTCAAGAAGTGTTAAACTTAACCATAATATTTTTATTACTGCATGATAATTAATCATTAAAATCAAATTATTTATATTCATTTTCCAATAAAATATTTTGAATGTTAATAAATAGCAGTTTATTTTCTGTTGAATGAAAAAGGCGTTGTTTACATTAATATTTTACTCCTGGTGAAATCTTACAGGAGTTAAGGCATGCAATCTTAATGATGCAAAAGACAGCCACTTGATTTTTCAGTAAACCATACGTAGCGTTGAAATTGCTTAGTCAGGAATTGAAATAGGTTTCTTTTTTCTGAACTGTTTTCGTGCACCAGTCTGATTGTTGGGTACGTTCGATTCATTTAGAGATTAATTTACACACTAAAAAGGTTTGTGAAATGCTATTTCTTCATCTAAAAACGCAAAATAATATTTGAAATTTCATTAACTTCATTAAGTTATCAAAATATAGCAAGGTTTAGTTTCGTACTCGATAGTGTTACTAGTATTGGCTGTTTTGTATATATGATTTTAATTTATTTATATTGTACATTAAAGGTATGGTGTATCAAATTTTATATAATATATAAAATTTATCTTATGCGTACTCTTGAAGTTTATTTTGTTTACAGGTGTTATTACAGGACCGTGAAGTAGCAAGTTTATTCAAAATGGTTGGGGAAAAAGATATGATGCCAAAAGTTAATATTGAAAAAGATATACCTGAATCAAAAAAAGCCCAGATAGATTATATGAGAAAAATAGAAAAAGAAAATCTGGAAAGAGTCCGAGGTTTACAGAAGATTCGACGTAGAAATATATATACAGGTTTTCTTCTCGGAGGCGCTGTATTAGGAATCTGTATCCTTAAATTAAACATTGTTAACCCTGTTCTGTTGTTAGGATGTTGATGTTAGACGTTTAAATCTGCATGTACTGACGTAGGCTTAAGCTCGTGGTTAGTATAACACTGACATTAACAGTCATCCTAAACTAATATATCGTATGTACTTCTCTGCGTTTCACTCCAAGTCTATTTACTAATTTAGTATACTTTATCGTTCGATAACTTAGTTAACTTTGTTTGCAAATATATGGCACATCCCCTCACAGTGTGAGTAGTTTCTTTCTACGTTGTATGATAAAATATAAGTGTAATGTTATTAATAATTTTACTGATTTAATACAGGTGGGAACACAATAACATGACTGAAGAAAAGGATTTTGGCACTTTGATGGATTAGTTAATCAAGCTTTCGAACTAGTTCTTTGTTGCTAGTAGAAAAGCTAAAACAATTCTGTAGTTTATTTATAGACACACTGATTGTTGTTTAAAAGAAGTAGTTAATTATCCACCTTATTGAGTAATGGGTGTGATATTTTAATGTATTATAATAATTGTTCTCTGTTCCTCCTACTAACACTAACTTTCCTAATTCAAGCTTTTTGTCTCTTATTCATTTTCTAATGTCATCGAGCCAAGTGAGCCTCTGCATACCTCTTGCAGTTTTATCTATCAAAATCTCCCAACTTTTTCTCATATCTAATTATATGCTAAAAAAAGTAGTACATTTTATGTCCACCAGTTGTATTTTTGTCTTTTGGTGTTCCAGTATTTCCTCATTAGTTTTTTCTTTCTGTGTAGTTGAGCATCACTGATTGTGTATAACAGTTCATCTTAAATGCTTTTGACCATAATTTTGTTTCACCAGACAGAGTCTACCTTCAATCTTCATGCAGAAAGACTAATCATACTTAATGTTTTAGTAGTCAGTTCATTTTTAATTTGCAACTGGCAAGTAACTGTTGTATCCCTTCTCCATATTCCCCCGTAAGTGCCGTGTCATCAGCATACCTATTATTACAGATTTCTGTATGAATAAGTACCTCTTACAAACCACTCTGTATACATGTTGTATAATACTGGAGTGGTTGATCAGAGGATTAGTTACTGACATAGGGTCAGTAGAAAATGAGATGACATTTTTTATTGGTCTCACATTTAAAGGAGACAAAGAAAAATACTAATTCTTAAACCTGCTTATGCCTTTTTATAGTATCCAAACCTTGTGTTTTCTTATAATGTATGGAACTACTGTTGTTTTTTAAGTAAAATATTTGTAACTGGAGAAGATATATTGTAACAAAAAAATTAGAGTACGTACATTTACAGAAATGTGAAATTGTCGAACAGTTCATAACTAATTTTATAAATCATTAACATCCCAGACCAAGATGATTTTTTTCCATTTATTATTCTGAAATCTTTTTTATTTTTATCAACTGCTATACATTATTTTAGAAAGTTCTTCTGAAGTAATCATGTCCTTTGGAGGATCCAGGTAAGCTCAGTAAGTGGTGACAGTATAATGTTTTGGGACAACATGGGACCTATTGATCCATCTCAGTTCCATCTTCTAAATTAAACTAAAACTATTAATAAATATATTTTTTAAAAAAATCTTAAAGCCAGCCCTTATCATTCATATACTTATCAAGCTTTCTCTTAAACTCACTTAAATTTACTGCCTCCACAACATCTGAAGGCAACCCATTCCAAAGGCCAACCACCCTGTTAAAAAATAAATCTGTCTTAGCTGAAGATGACTCCTACCTTGCCAAAATTTGTATTTGTGTTCCCTAGTTCTGCTATTCTTACTGTTAAATATGAAAAAAGATGATGCATCAACACTATCAATTTATTTTACAATCTTAAACACTGCAATCAGATCCCCGCTAACTCTTTTTTTTTCAAGATAAAACAATTTAAGAGATTTCAACCTCTCCTCGTACGACAAACCCTCCATCCCAGGTGCCATTCTAGTAACCCTTCTCTGAACTCTTTCCAACAATTCACTGTCTTTCCCAAAGTAAGGAGCCCAAGACTGAACACAATACTCCAAATGTGGCATAACCAGTGATCTATACAATGAAATTATAACCTCTTTAGACATGTATTCAATATTTCTGTAGATACAACCCAAAATCCTATTTGCCCTCTAGCAAAAGCACACTGCTTGGATGGCTTTAGAGACTGCTCAGTTATTACACCAAGATCCCTTGTTGTGTTTTCTTGCTGTAGTTCCGTGATTACTGTTTAGTGTTTTATTTGTTTAATTATTGTTATATTTAGCAACTGTTCTTTCTCAACTGTATTGCAAGTATTTTTCAGTGAAAAGATACAACAAAGACTGAAATAATGTTCTCTTGTTGACTTTTTTTAACATTCTGTTTGAAATTCTCATAACCCACTCCCTCCCAACATTTCTTAACTGTACAGTCTTTCTAGAATATGTAATTTTATTCATCAAATTAAAGTGTATTTATTGATCAGCAAAAAACTAAAGTAACCTAGTCAGGTAAAATATGAAATAAATATGGATTAAGGTCCATTTTGCATTTTTTAGTGTCATTAATTAACCACGATTTCTACCAAGTACTTAACTCGTGTGGTATTAAAATCAACAATATTAAGGAATAAAGTTATTGTTCACTCATTGGCCAGGTGATTGGGGTGCTTGACTCGCATTCTGAGAGTCGCAGGTTCGAATCCCAGTCCCAAGAAACATGCTCGCCCTTTCAGTCATTAATTAACCACGATTTCTACCAAGTACTTAACTCGTGTGGTATTAAAATCAACAATATTAAGGAATAAAGTTATTGTTCACTCATTGGCCCTCGGCCTGTCATGGCCAGGTGATTGGGGTGCTTGACTCGCATTCTGAGGGTCGCAGGTTCGAATCCCAGTCCCAAGAAACATGCTCGCCCTTTCAGCCGTGGGGGGTGTTATAATTTGACGTTCAATTCCACTATTCATTGGTAAAAGAGTAGCCCAAGAGTTGGTGGTGATGATTAGCTGTCTTCCATCTAGCCTTCACTGCTAAATTAGGGATGGCTAGTGCAGATAACCCTCGTGTAGTTTTGCACAAAATTCAAAACAAACTATTAGCCCTCTTCACATGAAAGTTCCCCCCCTTTCCTTCTTCTTGCAGTGCTTTTGAATGTTTCTATTTTTCATGAAGTTTTCATTTATGCATTTCCTGTTGAAGTAATTATTGTATTTCCTAAGAAATTAGGTAAAAATTATAACATGGGAAACATCTAATTTTCTCAAAGCCTTAGAATTGTACTCCAAAAGTTATTTAAAAACATTCCATCATGAAATTATTCATGTGTTTTGTCATGAATTATCTTTTAGATTATAGCTCATTTAAAGTTCAATGTATTTTAACATTGTAGCAAAGTTTAATGTTCCACAGTGGAGAGGGTTGAGTATATTATATGAAAAATGTTTTTCAATATGCAAGTCAGAAAAGTCCTAACAACCAAGCCAATATAAAGTCTTGGTGGTATGGGAAGGGTATGTAACAGCTGTTTCTGTCAGAAATTATTCATACATTGATCAGAAAGTTGTGTTCAGATCAGGGATTTCAAATTTCCAAAAGAGAAATGTCAGTTTTACTTAATGGCATTGGAAAACAAAGGAATATGGATGAACTTGGAGAATCAGGGCCATCCAGAAAGAATACTACAACAAGCCGTATAACAGCCATGGTAAGCAAAGCTTGGCAATCTTATAACAGTTGATAATCCACAAACACAAAAGTTGTACAACATAATCAAGAAGGATTACCATTTAGAAAAGTGACATAAGTCGTGCGTGTACATAATGTCTCCGTGAAACATCCAGAAATGGAAGAGCAACTAGAGCAATCTGTATGAATGGTAAAAATAGGTGAATGTAAATAAATGTTGGACTGAAGAGAACATGTGAAATATTGAAACTAGTTTTCGTGTAAATTTTTATTGCTTCATTTGAGTGGATTTAAACTTGGTATTAGTCCGTTAGTGTGAATTTAAACTTGGTATTGCTCCATTAGTGTGAATTTAAACTTGGTATTACTCCATTAGTGTGAATTTAAACTTGGTATTGCTCCATTTGTGTGGATTTAAACTTGTTATTACTCCGTTAATGTGAATTTAAACTTGGTATTGCTCCATTTGTGTGGATTTAAACTTGGTATTACTCCATTAATGTGAATTTAAACTTGGTATTACTCCATTAATGTGAATTTAAACTTGGTATTACTCTGTTAATGTGAATTTAAACTTGGTATTACTCTGTTCATGTGAATTTAAACTTGGTAATACTCCATTAGTGTGGATTTAAACTTGGTATTACTCCATTAATGTGAATTTAAACTTGGTATTACTCCATTAGTGTGAATTTAAACTTGGTAATACTCCATTAGTGTGGATTTAAACTTGGTATTACTCCATTAATGTGAATTTAAACTTGGTATTACTCCATTAATGTGAATTTAAACTTGGTATTGCTCCATTAGTGTGAATTTAAACTTGGTATTACTCTGTTCATGTGAATTTAAACTTGGTATTACTCTTTCATGTGAATTTAAACTTGGTAATACTCCATTAGTGTGGATTTAAATGTTATTATATTAATGTTACTCAGCTTGGAGAAATTGGCAGTATTAGGTGATACAAAGTGTATCTCGATAACTGCAACAAAACTTGTGCTACTTTCTATTGGTCACTAGGTGAAAAGAATTTCCAAAAGTGGTACACAGCATGTTATAGTACTATTTCGAAGGGATTCATCATTGTCGCTAGATACTGTGTCAAGGATAAGTTAGGGATCAGGAGAGTTGATAAAAAGTTCAAGGTAAACTAAGCTTACTATCAGACCAATGTTCTGGACTCTTTGTACCACACAGAAAAACTGGCTTTGTATGGAAACGAGACCAACATTTAGTTTCCAGTTCAGCTGTTGCATATCTCAAATACCTGGATAACAAAATGGGTATTCAGGCCATCCCATGTAAAGACATACCATACTGTAAAATCAGTATTTTCATGCAGCATTTCACAGTCATTACATCATTGGTCATTCCTATTTCACATATTCAAGAGAACCCCCCTCCAACTAATATACTAACTTTTACGGGTCTCTCTATTACCCCCAAAAAAGGGTATGATCTCACTCTAGGAGAGCGTGACACAAAGTGCCAAGCTGTGTTGAACAATTATTGTGGTCAGTAGCCTTTGTTTCTCTTGCTTTTGTCTCTCCATTATAGGCTGTTTGTATCTGATATGGCTTGTTATTGTACCATTGTTTTTGAATGGTACAATTTATTAACTGCTGTGACATTTTAAAATCTACTAAACAACTAATATTTCACACCAACACATGTTGAGACTTGGCTGTTGGTCTGAAATGTAGTATTATTTTTCACATTGTATATGTTTACTTAAAAGTATCCTTAGCTTCTTAAATTAGATTTATATTCCATATTGGCTGTCAAGCAGGAAAAGTTTTTGGACGAGCTGGATGACCCACAGACCATGAAACAGTGACAAAAACCATTGTGTATAAACTGTTCTGTATAGATGATCAGCTATCATCCTATTGATGTGATGATAAGATGAAAACAATGGTCAATCGCTATTTATGTAACAAAGTAATTCCAGCATGTAAGCTTGGATTGATTTAGCTAGAAACCTCCAGTGACCTTTTAAATATGGGGAACAGATAATATTTGTTGTAGGTTTAATGTTCTGTAAACACTTGTTAATAAAATAATTGTCAAATTTGGAAACTGATATAATTCATTACCTGCAATGATTTAAAAATATCTATTAATTATATTTTTATGACCGGTACTTTAAAAAATGTAAGTAAAAAAACTGAAACAGTAGTACAAGTAGAAGTAATGAAAGGTAAAATAGTTCAATATATGTACAAGTTTTTTGTTATGGATTATCATAATATCTGATGGTTAATACTTCCAACTAATTACATTCACTTTTGTATATCACAGTAAATTATACAATGATAATTAAGAAAAATTATCAAATATTTAACATCAAAAAATAAGCTTGAAAGCTTTTAGACACTTTTTTTTATTTAGCAAAACTCCCATACAAATTTTGAAAATTACTTGTAATGAACTAATTATGAGATGCTAGTTGGTTAGTCATAATTAAATAGCACTTTTGTTTGTTATGTGTGAGGTGTAACGTACTGGGGGTGTTTATATATTGTGATTATGTAATTGAATTAAGCTATAAGTTGACATTGCCATTGAAACTTGTCTAATTTTGTAAGAACCCCAACCAGAAGAACACTGAAAATCTACAATAATGATTATAATTAAAAATAAATAGTCTTAATTAAGTAACAGGTAAACTCTGAAGAGTTTCTGTAGCCATTCTGCTTGATGCCCTCGTTGTGAGCAGTGTTTTTAGTGAATTAGTCCAGGAACACCCAATGACCTACTTAATGAAATTACTAAGTATAAGATGAATTGTCACACGTAAAGCTTTGTGTAGTATGGGCCCCGGCATAGCCAGGTGGTTAGGGTGCTCAACTCACAATCTGAGGGTCGCAGGTTCGAATCCACGTCACACCAAAGTTGCTTGTCCCTTCAGCCATGGGGGTGTTATAATGTGACGGTCAATCCCACTATTCATTGGTAAAAGAGTAGCCCAAGAGTTGGTGGTGGGTGGTGATGACTAGCTGCCTTCCCTCTAGTCTTACACTGCTAAATTAGAGACGGCTAGCGCAGATAGCCCTCATGTAGCTTTGCGCGAAATTAAAAAAAACAAACAAACTTGTGTAGTATGGCTTTCAAATTTGATCACTGTATTTATTACTACTAAAGAAATGTAATGTATCTAATTCATAGATTGTGTCATTCTTTTTTTTTGGTAGGCAGATCATGTTAAATATAAAAGTTTTATGTGATAATTAACAAGACAGTATACAATTAAATATATCTGTAGATTGGCTATAGCTACTCTCGTGGCCTGCATTCTTCTTTCAAACAAAACTGTTATGTATTGAAGACCCAGAAAGGTAGTTTGAACCTTGGTGTACTTAGCCATGCCATCTTATGGATATTAATCATTCAGGTTAATACAGAATATTAACTCTAGCCTGTACTCAAGCTAGTGCGAAGGAATGCTGTATTCAGATGAATACAGAATATTAACTCTAGCCTGTAGTCGGGCTAGCACGAAGGAATGCTATATTCAGGTGAATACAGAATATTAACTTTTAGCCTGTTGTCGGGCTAGTGTGAAGGAATGCTATATTTAGGTGAATACAGAATATTAATTTTAGCCTGTAGTTGGGCTAGTGTGAAGGAATGCTATATTTAGGTGAATACAGAATATTAATTTTAGCCTGTAGTCGGGCTAGTGTGAAGGAATGCTATATTTAGATGAATACAGAATATTAATTTTAGCCTGTAGTCGAGCTAGTGTGAAGGAATGCTATATTTAGGGGAATACAGAATATTAACTTTAGCCTATAGTTGGGCTAGTGTGAAGGAATGCTATATTCAGGTGAATACAGAATATTAATTTTAGCCTGTAGTCGAGCTAGTGTGAAGGAATGCTATATTCAGGGGAATACAGA